TTGATCAATCCCGTCCATGGGATGCTCCCCGCATCCAACTTCTACACAGAATTGAAGGGGCGTAGTGAATGTGTAGTGGCCTATACAATGATTTGCGCTGTACAGCCAATGTATATGCCGGCGCTTTCATTCTTCCAAAGAGGTCTAGCACCAAATAATAGTCCCCTGAATGGAAACCTTGATAAGCATAGGCGAATGTCGAACGGGGATCCGGTCGCCGAACAACGTGCGTGTGAGAGTGCGCCACTTGCCATTACACCATCTCCGCCTCAAAAATTCAAATTTAGCTGTTGTAAATGGTGACATGTGCCACGGAATACAGTAGTATCTAGAAGGGGGCCAAAAGGTTTATAATTCGATAGCAATGAACTTCACCCTTATCGCGAGAGAATCCTCAGAGAACATATGGACAACCAAGCACCAGATGTGAATTACTACCTGGAAAAACGATTAAATCTTCCACTATAAACTTTTATTACTACTTCAGTACTTGATGGAATTGGTCGCTTTTCAGGCAGAATGACTTCTGTGTCTCTGCTTTTATATTTTCCCCCTATTGCTACAATCAGCCCTCTAGGGATATCCCCAAATGAAACGAAGTAGGATAAGAGATGAAAGAAAGAACGCCGATCATCGACATATTCCGGTTCTTCACCATTCCAATACAGAAAAACTAGCAACAACACAATGCGAGATGTAAACAATCTTCCTCCTGATAGGAAGGGATTTTATAAACAAGGACCTTTCACAGAATTACCTTCAAAAACTCACTCTATGTAAAGTAACTTGAAGCCAGTGGTGTAGTGGCAAGGGACTCACTATCACACGCACGCATCGCTGGATCGAATTCCGGATTGATAGTCGACCATGTCGACTAGGCTTTCAATCCTTCTAGGGTCGATTAATCAGTACCAAGATGGTCTGGAGCTTCTAGGAGGACAGAAGCACACCTTTATATTTCGGCTGGCCACGGCAAGCCATTGTATAGGCCATACACATACATATTCAAACACTATTATGATTCTGAGTGGAAGTAGAGTGCGGGGAACATCACACGAATGAGAATGTTCAACGTTAAAAGGTATATTTAACACCTGGTTTCAAATTTGTTATATGATTTGGGTAACCTATTTAAACCATTTCAGTAAGGATACATCTCATGAAACTGATAGGGTTTAATAGTTTTTTCTCGGTTCGCTATTCACTGAGCTAGGGATTCACTCCTTTTTCAGCTTCAAAAATTCAAATTTACTTCTAGCCTTTGCTAGTTCTTCTATGATTCTTGGTTTTGCATTTCCTGTTAATTGAATATGAATCGAAATGTAAAAAATTTAAAAATCAAGAATTTGAAAAAAAAAAAANTTAATTGAATATGAATCGAAATGTAAAAAATTTAAAAATCAAGAATTTGAAAAAAAAAAGTTATGCGTAGCTGTGTTGCGCTTTGCGATATCCAGGTATTTCCACCCATAGGATGATCCTGAATGAACCCTTCCAGGGGATGGCGGGATGGGCATTAGCATTTGGAGAGGTTGCAGTGTTTGATCTTTTAGCCTCGAAATGTTTCATTTGGTGATATGACACCACAATATTGTCGATAGCGCTTGGGCTATCACAATGCGCAATTCCTGTTCCATTTATTTGCTAAGGACAGAGTTTCTGCAAAGACCGTGAAATTCAAGGTCACATTCACCTATGCTTCACTAGGAATGCTTCCGATTTCCGATTTTTGTTCTTTTTATAATCTATCGGAATTATTAAAAATAAGGGTTCCTAACTGTGTTCATTAGATGAGTTTCGTAGAGCTAAAAGGAGCACTATCACACACGCTTAGTCCAGTACCAAAACCAGGTTCGATATCCACCCAGGCCGACTAGGGCTTGCATCATTCCAGGGCCGATTAATAGGTTCTAGGATCTTCAGGTTAGGAAAAAGGGTGAAAATGTAGTCAGTGGTGCCAGCGCCCTTTTTATGCTCTGCGTCTCTGACACCAGGCGGCACAGTGCATAGAGACCGCGCTAGGGTGCAGAGATGGTTCCCTTCACTTCTAAAAGTTAGGGGAGGAGCTACGGCGTGGGAGAGCTATTATCTCGTGGAAAAAGCTGGGGTAAGAATTGAACATCCGATTGGTTCATCCATCCCTTCCCTAAGTTTTAAAAGGGAAGGAGCTCTGGAATGGGTGAGATGATTAGATGGGATTGGATAGACACAGGGCACAAAAGGGCCTGGCACCCAACTACATTTTCGCCCGCCTTTGAAACGCTATTACGATTCTGAATGAAAGTCGAAGAGGAGGCGCATCCCAGAACAGGAACAGGATCAACGCAAATGACTTCATCCTCAACTAGTATTTATTTCTAGCACATTTCTGAATATTGCAACGGGGTCATAGAAACTTTCTTGGTAACCTGATAACACGGGTGATGTTCGAAGTGTTTCGGGTCTTATCGCGTCTTAGGAACAGACTATGCGAAGTTTATGACACACTAGACAGTTGGCCCTAAAAATACTGAGAAACCCCTCGGTACCTTTTCTGAATCCGAGTCATCAATAAAGAGTTACCCACGCTAAATTGTACTTTGCAAATCACTTGCAAACGCTGTCATGAATGATGTAATCACTGGAAACACGATTGCATCACTCTTTGCAATGATCAACGGAAAGATTGCGATCGCGAGGTATCGACTGAAACAGGAATCGTCGTGGTTTCGGTAGCCTATCCCTAATACGATTACTAAAAACAGAAAAAAGCGTAACGGGTATGAAATACCCTCTAATAATGCGAATATTCGGGAAAAGATTAAAGAGTATTGTAAAGTAAAGGATTGTTCAAAGGATCGACAGAAATAGCGGAATCGGGGTAGAATAGTTTGCGGACAAGGGCGCCCCCGTAAACTGAATGATTGATTAGATCAGAAACATTTTGATCCACTTTCTAGGTTAGATCACAAACACTTCCAAATGACTCGATGTAAAGTAATGAAACCAGTTGACAGCCTCTTCCATACAAAACTACAAATAGGCAGTTTCGGCTAAATCGCAATCGCAAACGGTAGTAACCGCGCACACTAGGGCGAATCGCCTCACCAATCGATAAACGCTTCGTGCTGCCACAAGTATGAACTGTGTGCTGCGTAGACAGCATCATGCTTGCTCTGGGGCGAAGCAAAGGCCATATTAGAGGGAAATGAAAAAGTGCCTTCTTTACCGGTATCACTTTCAAAGGGCGGTTCGGTTTCTCTGTTTGCCCTTCTTATATTTCCAACTCACCAAGCTGTAATTACTATCTAAAGTCGCTATTGAGCACCGTTGACGAAGTTTGGTCAACTGTCCAATACGATAATTTTGACAGACTTACTTTCCACATTTCTCTGAAAAATAGATTTCTAATATAGTTTTTCTGTACTCCTTTCCCACGTTTTTCCTTCTCTTCCATTATATATTTCCTTTTTTCGAGAATTTTCAATTTCCACGCAACCCTGAAGGTGTCCTTTGCTTGAAGTCCTTGTTATCGGGGTCTCCGCCGCGATCGTTCACTTCCTTCAAAGATAGCAAAGGAAAAACCGCGATCAGTCGCGCTTTGCGCTCACCGTGGAACAAAGTCCATTTTGGCGGCGTGATGACATTACACATTAGTACTGCATAGTCGGAGACTTGTTATTTCTGCTAATGTCATCGTTTTTCCCCTCAAGACCGACTATAGTCATCACAGTCTGGAGTGTAAGCACATAACAACTCAAATGATGACTTTATAACCAGTTCATTGAATCGCAATTACAACAAAGTGATCTACGGAATATGAGCGGTGCTTGAAGTCCGATCAAAAATAGCCTTCAGACAAATGATCTACATTTAAGAGTGCAAATCTAATCGATAATGGAAGGGGTATACAATGTACATGGACATCGGGAGATCACATGACATGCGCAAAAGCTGATGAATCGGGTTCGAAACGTGTTCAACGCTGCACATTAAGGAACACCATGTCCTATTATAGTAATCCCAAAGTATAACCAAATTTTTCTTGCTTTTCTTGCTTTCAGACAAAGTTAGCGTGTGGAATGTCACAAATGCCAAATATTTAGGTATGATGAGGAAGCTCCGCCCACCGAACCAGTTCCGTCTCGGTGACTTGTTTCACATTCTATTTTGGAACCTACTGCTTATTTGTCCTTGATGCTTTGTTCTATGATGTTATGCAATGTGCGCAAACAGCTTCTTAACCATTCTTCAAAGTGTAGCATGAGCCACGACTGGAAAACTCGCCCAGGAGGCG